TCCCAAGTCAAAACTGCTTCAACCTTTGATGGATCAACTGATACTCCACCTTCTAAAACAACATGCCCCAAAAACTTCACCTCCTGTAGCCAAAACTCACATTTCTCGTATTTGGCATACAATCGGTGCTCCCGCAAAATCTGTAAAACAATACTCAAATGGACCTCGTGATCTTCCCGAGTCCGTGAGTACACAAGAATGTCATCCACGAAAACTACCACAAACTGGTCCAAGTAATCGTGAAAGATGCGGTTCATCAAGTCCATGAATGCCGCTGGCGCATTAGTCAAGCCAAAAGGCATAACAAGGAACTCATAGTGTCCATACCGTGTACGGAATGCTGTCTTCGGGATATCCTCATCCCTAACCCGCAACTGATAATAGCCAGACCTCAAGTCAATCATGGAGAAACAACTGGCTCCCCTCAACTGATCAAATAAATCATCTATCCTTGGCAAAGGATACTTGTTCTTGATGGTGGCGCGATTCAACTTCCGATAATCGATGCACAACCTCAAAGAACCATCTTTCTTCTTAGCAAACAAGACCGGTGCGCCCCATGGTGACACACTCGGTCGGATGAAACCTTTCATCCTCAAATCATCAAGCTGTCTTTTTAATTCCTCCAATTCAACTGGTGCCATACGATACAGTGCCATAGAAATCGGCGCGGTACCTGGCATTAACTCAATAGAGAACTCCACTTCTCGGTGTGGAGGCAACTCTGTCAAATCCTCCGGAAACACATCCAGAAAATCACGAATAACTACAGGATACTCTTTTTCCACAACATCATCCTCTTCGGCTATAAGACTAGCCAAGAAGTAATCACCACGACTCCGTCCACAAACTCCATGAAACGATGAAATGTGGGAATCACTCTGATCTCCCACGAAAAAGAAACAGTCTCTCTCGGGAGTGCAAACTGTAACCCTTCCTCTGTAACAGTCGATCATAGCATGAAATGAAGCTAACCAATTCATCCCGAGAATGACATCAAAGCTAGTCATCTCCAGGAGGATAAGGTCAAACACAAAAGTCCGCCCGGCTATCACAATAGAACAATCCCGCACAACTCGGCTCAATGACACTGAAACCCCAACTGGTGTATCAACACATAACGCCCGATCCATGAAACTAACTTCCAACCCCGATGCAAGGGCAAATGATGATGAAATGAAAGAATGAGATGCACCAGAGTCAAACAAAACACGAGCCCAAGAACCAAACACTGGAAATATACCTCGGAGAACTGAAGATCCAGGAGATGTATCAGTCGGTGCAAGTGCAAAGACACGTCCCTGCGGTGCCTGTGCCTGTGAACTACTCATCTGAACACCAGACTGCTGTGCCGACACAGTAGGAGTATCCCCCCTAACAGGTCGTGAACCCTGAGAAAACATAGCAGGCTGTGGTGGTGGCGGTGGTCTGAAACCTGACTGAACTGTAGCCGACTGTGACGGCCTCTGCCGTGACCCTCTGCCACTACCGGTGACTGCTCCCTGACTCGGACAGTCTCGAATCAAGTGGCCCTGCTGGCCACACCCATAACAAGCCCTTGGAGCTGAAGAAACTGAAGTCAATCTCATGGGACAATTGGACTTATAATGTCCAGGCTGCTGACACTGAAAGCAAATGACTCCACTCCTATCAGACCCAGCTGGCAACGGAGTGGTAGGAGCAAATCGTGTAGACTGCTGCCCCTGAAACTGAGATGAACCACCCCTGTTCCTTTTCCCTGAAGGTCCCTCTGCAGATGGTCCTATATTCCTCTTTTGCCTCCATTGTTCCCTTCTTGCTTCTTTATCTTTGGTCTCCACCTCTAACATTAATGCCCTTTCCACTGCCTCAGAATAAACCTTGATGCCCTGTGTTATTAACAACGGCCTCATTTTGTAGTCAAGTCCGGAGATAAACTTCTGAACCTTATCAACTTCATGACTCACCATCTCTGGAGCAAAGCGGGAAAGAGACGTGAACTTGTTCTCGTATTCTGTCACTGACATATTGCCTTGGATAAGGCTAATAAACTGATTCTTTAACTCTCACCTATTGGAGGCAGGGAAATATTTCTCATAGAACAATTCCTTGAATCTATCCCAACTCATCTCTTCAATTTTATATTGATTTGTTATCAATTTCCACCAAAACTTGGCATCCTTTGTGAACTTGTAAGTGGCTAGGATAATTTTCAAGTGATCCTCCGTCACATCCATAGAAGTTAATTGAGTTTCAACTTGCTCCATGTAGTCATCTGCTATCATTGGATCCGCACCGCCCTCAAACATAACTGGCATCAGCTGAGAAAACCCCTTAATAATCTTGAGACGCTTCTGAGCTGGCGTCTCCTCAACTTGAACTGTAGGTTGTGGTGCCGACTGTGACTGAGCAGCAATCGTTGCCCTCACGACATTTTGCAACAAACGATTAAACTCCAGTGCCACAGAACCTTCACCCACTTCTACGGGTGCTTCAACATTATCCCTCCTTGTGGGGACAGCTCTCGGGGGAACCAAGTCCCTAAGAAGTGTGTCCTCATCATTTAGCTCCTCCGGATTGGAGCTGGAGCTCACGCCAACATCACCCCTAGTCGGTCTAGGGCCAACTTCCCTGATTTCCTCACGCCGTGACATCGTTCTATAAAACAAAGGAAACAATTCAATAACGATAACACTAAGGTCCAACAGTGAATAACCCAACGCAAAAACATACTGTACAAACATTTAGCATGTAATACTATGCAATGAACACATTAATATAGGCATATAAGCACGTAAACAAGTAAGTAGTTGAGCATGCTTTTTCATATAGCAAAACACTTTTCCAAACAAGCAAATAACAATACAAATGACTTCCCCGACAACCCTAGGCAAGCCTCTACCCGTCGTCCTAATGGTATTCGAACCATCGCTCTGATACCAAATTTGTAACGACCCTAGCTGATGCCAAAAAAAAAAAAAAAAAAAAAATTCGGCATGACCTTCGCTAAAAAATCGACCTACAACAACCTATTTAAAAGAATGATAAACCTGTCCCAACACAAATATCATATAATACACTCCATGGTGGTGCAACCACATACTATATCATTCAAATATCATAATTACAGTCCCAAAATACAAGATTAATATCGAACGTCCATGTTTTACAACGTTTATACAACTTATGCTAAAATTACAGTCTATAATTATAATTACGATAACAAGGGTCCACAAACCTCTATGCCGAATATAACAAACTAAGGTTTTACAAAAATATGGGACTTAGTACACAAAATGGCAAAAAGTCTTCTAATCCAAATTAGCCCTGTAGTGGAATGTCATCCGCCACTTCTTTTCCGTTTCATGGAAAAATTTATTAAATAATAGGGTGAGCAAGTTACTCAGTAGGTAGTACCTAAGACACACCTCTTGTGTCCCCGTGAATCCAAACAAAGAATAGGACAATAGGAATTTGGGGTCATGCAAAGCCGGGAAAACACAATATCAATTCTAAGTTCAAAGCAAATAAATTTCGTGCCATGAATGTAATGTTATGCATGTCACTCCCCATTTTCAGAAAACATCATTACTTCACAAACTGTTAATATAACCCGCCTTTTGGTGACTCCGCAGCGACACGAGAGAAGGATTGGCTACTGTCCCTGACCTTTGGTACCCCCGCAGCGTCATTTGGGACCCAGGTAGCTCAACCACGCTAGGGCAATCTCCCTAGTTCCCTCTAGGCTATATTAACACACCGGTCCTTTGATGACTCCGCGGCGACCGGGTTTTTCTCAAAAGCCGATTCATCAAATTCTCTCCAAAATCCCCTTTTTCTTTTATTTCAAAACACTTTCCCTTTTCTTTCATGCCCAATGCTTGTGTGCATATATGAAAATGGAGAGAATTTTTTTTAACGCACAATTTACAAGCTTTTACATAATTTCTGACAAATTAATTGGCATAGAAAACTAACACATTAAGCATGTTTTTATTTTATTTTCTTTCATTTTATTATTATTATTATTTTCATACAATTCAATTAAATACACATTATAATTCAATTAAATACACCTTCACACATGTTTCATATATATAATCAAGTCACTTTAAGGAACAATTATCACAATATAGCATGCTAGAATACTAATAGGATACTAATCAAGAAAAAAAATAATTCACAAAGGGGCAATCATCACAATTTAGCATGCTAGGACACTAGTCAAGAACAATTAACTCACAAAGGAACAAGATTGTAGGAATTAGAGACCCCTACCTCACTTTTAAGCATAATCCCCAATTTCTTCCCCTCAAACCCTAGGATTTCGAACCTCCTATAGTGCACCAATCAAAGAATTGCTCCTATCAACGTGTTGATCTCGTCGTGGGCTTCGAATAGCCGCAAACGGCTCTTAAAAACACCAAGAAATGATGGAGAAATCAAGAGTGGAAGTTGCAAAAGAAAAAGAAAAAACAGAAATACAGAGGCAGCGAGAGAGAGAGACCTGCCGAGAGAGAAAGTGTAATGAAAACAAAATGGGTCTTCATCCCATTAACCACATGTGCCTTAAAATAAGGTGGGCCCCACAGCTAACATAAAATATAAAAAAAATCTTTTAACATAAATATATAAGATACAGGCATTACAGTATCATCCATCAAAAAGTTGCTCACTTCCTGTGTAATTCGAGAAACCACATCACAAAAATAATCCGTGATGTTTAGCATTTTTCACTAACATGCATGTTAATCTGATCTTTTACTAGCATATCAAACAATGATCTCTTAGACTACAACAATTGCTAAATAAATGTATAAATGCCTGAATGTATATTTGCTCCAAAATTGATCCATTCTTAACAAAAAGATTTTCACAAGAAGAAACTAGAAATAACATGAGATAATTCAAGCCACTAACCTAGGGTTCAAAGAACTTATTAAAAAGAAGTTCAAGTTCCATGAACCTATCAGACGAACATTAGTCTTAATACCATTGTTGCATTCAAAGGCGTCAGTGTGTTTGTTGAACAAAGGTTCAATAATGGTCAGTTCAGAGCCCCTGCAACAACTGCCTGGTACTTATCATTGACATCATCACTTACACTCCTACGCGCATATTTCATTGACTCATCAAAATGGGCAGCCTTGACTTCTGACGCCTCTTCTTCTTCTACATCCTTCTCCATAGCCTCTGGATTCTCCCTTCTCCTCCTCTCCCTCTCACTCTCCTGCAAAATGAAAAGTGAAAATTCAACCTTAATATTTTAGTTTCCACGCAATAAAGTAAGAATTTCCGAAGAGGGTTTAAACAAAACAAGTCCTTTGAGTTTCACATAGATTCAAATGAGGGCATTGTGCCTTTAAAAGAATTGAGTTGCTTTTCTTATCACTTCTTTAGTGTAAGGACTTCCCAGACCAGAATATGACAAAGGACCGATTTTACTGGGATGGCATTATCATTACATGCTATCTCCTTTGTACTAAAAGGCCAAACTCAAACGCACCAAGCATTGTCCAACTTTCATGGAAGTTCAGTTACAACTAAATCTGATTATATATAACACAAATTAGTGACATCAGAACAAACAAGTCTTGGACTCTGATTAGACCACGCTGGCGTAAGGACATATATTCACACTTAACCAATACAGTTGTTACACGCCTTTCCAGACATGATACAACACCATTGTTCCAATTATGTGGGGATATGAAGAGGCTTTTATAATTTTCATTCAACTACCAATATTTTTAGGGTGCTGGGGTGGTAAGGCTGGAAAGACTGGGCCGTGCTGGGGTCACTGGGGTTTTTGTTGGCACACATGAAAAATTAGTACAGAAGCTTACCTTCTGAATTTCCTCTTTTATGGCATAGGTGCAGGCACGTTGGCATATTTCCATAATATCAGCACCACTGCAGCCTTGGGTGTTCTTAGCAAGGGATCCCAGGTCTACATCTTCAGAAACAGGAGATTTCCTAAGGCAAGCCTTGAAAATCTGATAGCGAGATTCTTCATCAGGCAAAGCGATATAAATCAATTGATCAAAACGGCCAGGACGCGTAAGTGCCGGCTCAATAAGATCAAGCCTGTTGGTGGCTCCAATAACAAAAACCATTTTATTGGTAGAAAATCCATCCATCTCCGTTAGCAGTTGATTCAAAACCCTGTCAGAAGCGCCACTATCTACTGAATTGTGCCCCTTCTACAAGGATTAAAAAAAAAAAAATTTAAACAGGGATTACAAAATATCACAACGAACAAATCAGGGTAGAAAAACACTAAAACAGACCTTTATAGCAATTGAATCCAGCTCATCAAAGAATAGCACACAAGGAGCACATTGGCGAGCCTTTTCAAATATTTTTCGAACATTAGCCTCACTTTCTCCATACCACATGGTAAGCAATTCTGGACCCTTAACACCGATAAAGTTTGCCTGACATTCATTGGCAACAGCCTTGGCCAGAAGAGTTTTCCCACATCCTGGTGGGCCATAGAAAAGAACTCCCTTTGAGGCTGACACACCAAACTTCTCAAACTTTTCTGGATGCTCCATGGGATACTGGATGATCTACATGATAAAGAGAGAGTATGAGGAGAAAATTGAAAAATATAAGGTTTAGGTGTATACATACGCTGCAATGCAGCAACTGCAACTACCGCTTGAAGCTGCTGCCTAACAGTCTCAAGGCCTCCGATATCTTCCCAACTGACATTGGGCACTTCAACAACCTGGCTCACCAAAACATTAGAAATGAGTTGAAACTATTGGAGTGCTGTGTTTCATTTACCTGCTTTTGTGTCTCGTGGTATAGAAAGAAAATTGAAGACATTTATTTGGGGAGATTCAGATTTGGTGAAGAAAGGTCAATTGTTGTGTTGGAAGAAGGTCTCTTTACCTAAAGCTGAGGGTGGGTTTGGTGTGAGAAAGATTGAGGATATTCAGAAATCGTTTTCACGTGCTTTGGTTTGGGACTTGATTAAGAAGAAAGAGTCGCTGTGGGTTGCTTGGTTTACTAATAGGTACATCAGAAACACTAGCTTCCTAATTGAGTTCAATTCTTTCATCCTCTCATTCTGCTATTTGGAACAGGTTCTATCAGTTAGGGACATCATGCTACAGAATGTGAATTTTAATGTTGGATCAAATTCAACTATTAGCTTGTTAAGAGATGTGAATGTTCTTATTCAAGATGGTAGATGCTATCTCAGTTTTTTGGGAGCTGGGATGTACCATGTAAAGCAGTTCATTTCTATTTTGCCTATTCATAATGGTGGAGATAGATTGATGTGGGATGAGGGTTCATTTACTTCTAAAAAAGCTTGGGACAAATGTAGACAACATCTTCCTTGGAGAAAGTTGCGTTGGAATAAGGGGAGGCATCGAATTGTTTTGCTGCTTGTTTGATTATTTTGGACAAGCACTTATCAATATTTAATCTGCAGAAGAGGGAGTTGCAGCTGACTTCAGTGTGTTCTAATTGCCTTTCATTTGATGATTCTAGGGATCATTTATTCGTGGGGTGCCAATTTGCTAAGAAAATATGGGCATGGTTTGATGATGTTCTGAGTCGGTCTCTTCCAGAGGTGAGAACTTTTGATCAACTGCTGAATTGGTTTATTAAGTATACGATAGCTTCATCTCACAGAATGCCTAGTTTAAGAGGATGGTTTTCACAGCTGTTGTGTGGGCTATTTGAGGGGAGAGAAATTTTAGATTCCATCAAGGGGTTAGCATGTCTGCTGTTGAGGTGACAAGGGTAGTCAATTGGTGTTGGGGCTTTTCTACATGATGTTGTTGCTGCCATGCAGTTTTCTTTCTGTGTTTTTCTTTTTCTTCCATGTATACTGGAATTGGTACTTACCTGTTTCTTTTTCTTATTGATGTCTAGAGTGAAGGAATGCCTTCACTTTGATCCTTTTGTACTGATTGATCCATCTTTTGATCAATACAATACCTGCTTATGAAGAAATAAAATATAAAAAATTCCCTCACCGTTTCCCGCAGAATTGATGGCTTGCTTTTTCCCGTAGCAATTTGTCGTTGGAAGTGCTCATTCGTAACAACCATGGAGTTGAGTGACTCAGCATCTATGACCTCATTTTTCAAGCCAATCACACCCATCTCTCTGAGGCATTGCAATGCAGCCTCACTGCACAGACCTGATAAATCAGCACCAACATATCCATGTGTGTCTTTGGCAATTCTTTCTAAATCAACCTGCACAATTAAAAGGCATAAAGTTTGATCCTTTTATACTTATTGATCTATCTTTTGATCAATACAATTCCTGCTTAAGAAAATATATATATATATATATATATATATATATATATATATATATAAACCCCTCACTGTTTCAGGCAGAATTGATGGCTTGCTTTTTCCGGTAGCAATTTGTAGTTGGAAGTGCTCATTCGTAACAGCCATGGAGTTGAGTATCTCGGCATCCTTGACCTCATTTTTCAAGCCAATCACGCCCATCTTCTCTCTAATGCATTGGCGTCCAGCCTCACTGCACAGAGCTGCTAAATCAGCACCAACATATCCATGTGTGTCTTTGGCAATTCTTTCTAAATCAACCTGCACAATTAAGAGCATATATAAATTGTTCAAAAACAATATACACACCTACTATAAAAAAAATGCAAGATGATACTAATATAGTGTTTGATATTACATTTTCAGCAAGCCGCATGTTCTTCGTATGGATTCGAAGAATCTCAAGACGCCCAACCATATCTGGAACACCAATTTCAATTTCCTTATCAAATCTACCAAACCTTCTCAGGGCAGGGTCAATGCTGTTAGGACGATTAGTAGCACCAATCACAATAACATGAGCACGACGCTCAACACCATCCATAAGGGTTAACAGCTGGGAAACAACCCTCTCAATAGCTTCCCCACTAGTTTTCTCTCGATTGGGAGCAATAGAATCTATCTCATCAATAAAGATAATAGATGGAGCCTTCTTCTCTGCTTCCTCAAATACTTTCCTGAGATTGCTCTCACTCCCTCCGACATATTGAGACAAAAGCTCTGGTCCATTTATACAGAAGAAGGAAGCACCAGCTTCGTTAGCAATAGCTCTTCCCATTGAAGTCTTTCCGCATCCTGGAGGTCCATATAAGAGAATCCCTTTAGGTGGCTTCACACCAACGTAGTGAAATAGTTGTGGATACTTCAGTGGCCACTCTACTATTTCCCGAATATCTGCCATCTGTTTACTGACACCACCAACATCATCATAACCATCCTTCTTGTCTAATTGATCCTCACTGCCCGGGGGAACTATTCCTCCCCTTACAAGAAAGAGGTCACCCCTCTTCCCCCCTGTAAATTCAATGGATGAATTATCTGTCAATCATATTGAATCGGATCAATATCATGAATGACAATATGTGAGCTATCAAATCAATTCATAAGCAGTTATTGGGTAATATTGTAATCTAGTCAATCAATCTTCTCAACAATTCTAAGACCTTCCAAAGAGCATTGCTAGGGTTTTTTTTTTTTTTTTTTTTTTTGTTCAGATAGAGAAAAAGGAAAAAAGAAAAAACAGAAGAAGAAGAAGAAGAAGAAAAAAATACCTGTTTCAAAAACAGAGGAGCATCCAGGAGGGCTTTGTTTGATGCGAGATCCAACGTTAAACGAAACAGAAAGTCGAGAATGAACCTGATGACGCAAAGACAGACTGTTTGTAACCGAATATGTAGATGGTTTAAAAGGTAGAAGAGTACACGCAGAAGCCATTGAAGAACAATGGAAAGAGCCGAACAAGGAAAGAAGGTTTGGAAAATTTGAAGTGTCTCCAAGTTCAACGTATGGAAATGGTGAGTCGAAGCAAGGAAAGCGGGTTTGTAAATATACAATTCCTCCTGAAGCTCAAGCAACGACCATGGTGAGTCGAAAGAGCCTAGGAAGGAAGGAAAGGTTTGGAATTTGCTGAATTGCGCTGCTATATAAAAAAGAAAAAGAAAATAAAGTACTGTAGTCTTTTTATCTTCAATTACAGGATTTGAACATTTCTGTTTCCCAAAGTATTACGCTACCATAACTTATTTATACATTATACTAATACAAGTTGCCCATTATTTATGATTTTAAATGCTTAAACTGATTGCATAAACATTTTTGTATCTTTTCTTTAATTTCTTTCTCAATTATTCTTGTCTTATCTAGCTTGTTTTTATATAGCTCTACGTGTAGTAGAAAGTTTAATTTTGGAAAAAAAAAAAATCAATTCGCTTATTTGATGCAAGGATGAGCCATATGCTTACTCAACGGTACAGGTGGTCAACGGTATGACATAGCATTGGATAATTACTGATTTTTTTGTTTTTTTGGAGTGGTCCCAAAAAAATTACAACTCTGGACCTCCAAATAGTGAAGTGAAATTCTTAACCACTAAGTTAAGAAATCCTCTTTGAGATTTGTATGGTGAAGCATTTTATCTGTAAGGTATTTTGTTCACATTTTAGCCGATAATGTATTGTTTGACGAGGGACAACATGAGGGAACTGTGTGGCATGGGCCTTGGAGGGTATGATTGCCAATTTAGAGAGCATTTAATGTTCTAAAGCAAGCGTGGCAACAGGTTTTCAACAATCCACATATTTGACAATGGTAACTTTTTACTTAAACTCATCAGTGTCATATTGATCTCTGAATCATTTAAATGTCTTGAGAGCATGTATTTTTCCACGAAAAATGATATTTTTTGGAACATTTTGGATAAAATTTTGACCTAAATAAATGATGTGTTATGCAATTTTAGTAATTTTATAAGCCTACTTATATATGCAATTAGGGAAAGTCCGGTCAACCAATTCCACGAGGCATAATTGTTCTGGCGGCTGATAAATAACACCAATACAGACCAATCGAGTTACTTAATAGTCTTAATACTCTCTTCCTTCCAAAATAAAAGTATTTCTTTTCAAAAATTTAGCTTTTTAAGAAAATTATTATTATTATTTTTGTATTGTATTAATATTGAATGAATTATTAAATTTATTTTTATTGAGTTCACAATGATGTGATAATTTACTTTTTATAGGTTTAATGTAAGAAGGTTAAATTAGTAATATTATAAAAAATAGTACATTGACTTCTCAAATGGAACACTTATTTTGCAACGGATAAAAATGAAAAGATGGACATTTATTTTGAAACCGATGGAGTATTAGTCACACTCAATTTTATAAGACTTGTGAGGATGGATTTGAACCTCCTATATTACTGCTCAATTTCATCACACTACAACACAACTTAATTATTCTTTTGACTGTTTTAAGGGAGGTCATACTTGTTAGAGTTGTGGCTTAAATTCACATAGAAAATTCTATTCTAGAAGAGCACAGTCGGTTGCGCTGGGGAGAATGGTTGGATCAATGTTTGAAGAAGCGAAACCAATTGCGTTTTAGCGGAACCAGTTGCGATTGCCTGATTTGTGCAAGAAATAACTTTCTAATCAGTTTTTGAAGACAGGAGACTTGGGAAAAAGGCTGAAAATTTGGGGAAGAAATTGTGCTTCCTATATTAGAGTTGAAGACTAATTTGGTACCTCTAATGTCCCGAATTTTTAAACATTTTATTTTATTTATTTTTCGTACCTCTTTTTGCATGTTGCGTGGGTCCCGAGAATCGTAAGGGACATTTCTACCAGTTTGGGACTCTTAGAAAGATATTTGTAGTGTTTTAGCGTGTTAGAATTTACGGGATTATTTTTTAAGTTTTCAATTTTACCACAGACTTTTGTGCGCTGGAATTTTTCTAGATTTTTCATTTACATCTATCATTATTTTGCCATGTAAATTATGTGCGTGTATGATGTAAGATTATTTATTTAATTATGGCCCACATGATTTGGACATGTGACATATTACTTGGTGGATAAGTAAATAGATATCAATTAATATTATTTATTTTTGGTCAACTTATAATTACTTTTTTGGTAATTACTTATTGGAGAAGTGTTTCCCTTTCTTATTCCTTACTTTGATGGAAAGTAGAATTATGTTACTATAAGGAAAATTGGTCCTCTCTCTGCCTTTATAAAAGTGCATATACTCCATCAATTATGTACAATTAATGATACAACACGTAAAAGTTTTATGTGTACAAAAGGCCAAGAGAGAGAAACCAGTTTCCACCTTTGCCTGTTGATCAGAGTTGCAGATTAGTTCGTGGTTAAAGGATCTAGAAGTTGGATTTAATCTCAACAAGGTTTGATATCATGAATCGAGGTATCTATATCTAACTATTTATTTATGCATTATAGATATGTGAAAATCATGTAGTTCTAAGATTATGGGATTCATGTTTATTTGTGATGAATGGTTTAATACGAATAATTATAGTTTACATGTGGTATCAGAGCTAACGGTTTAGGAACTCATTATTTTTCATTAAAGTTGCATAAATAATATGTATAATTTTAAAATTAAATGATTGTATAATCCATTCTTTTAGAATCGTATGTTTAGATCAGTCCATGTGGTTTTTGGGTTTAGGTACCTCAATTTCTGAGCCAAAATTGAATTATGAAAGTTGGTTACTGATACATAGTTTACATATGTGTAATAGTACAGACGTATGCATAATGTGTGTAAGACAAACAACTTCAATGCTTTAGGTTACTGATTTTCGTGCATGACTAATAAAGAACATTGAATTAAAAATAATAATAATAATAATAGCATTTGTCTTGCTATTGTTTTATAGAAACAGTAAGTTGTGAAAGGATTACAAAGACTCATTATTATTATTATTTAAAAATTAATAAATACATAAAGTTTGTGTATTTATTTATTTTATTAAAGAGGTTTAAATTATTGTTATAAGTATTTGTATAATGATTTGAAGATTCTGATTTTAATTTAAATTAAAATTAAAGTTATTGAATACATAAAATATATGTATTGATTTATTTATTTTAGGAATTTGAATTTCTAGAATAATTTGTGAGTTTAGAAATTTAATCTAATAAATTAGATATGTAAATAACTTATTGTTTCGTACCCAAACATACATACATATTGTAGAATCAATTTTAAATTGATTCAATTATGATCTTTAAGTCCGAAAATAAAATAATATATTTTATTATGTATATAAAATAAAAAAATATTTTCTATGAAATTTCAGACTATTAAGTTTTTGAGATCTATGTTGCTTAAACTTTAATCGACAATTATGAGTATGTGTGTATAATGTTAAATGGGTAAATTAATAATTAATTAATTACTAGTTAATTTAATATTCATATTATGTGTGGGTTAGTAGCTACCAAAGTGGCCTAACCATAATGGTCGATGAATATTAATTTTAGTAGTAAATATAACTTAATGATGAATTAATTACTGTCTAATTTAATATTCATATTATGTGAAGATTGGTAGCTACTAAAGTGACCCAATCATAATGATTGATGAATATTAATTTTTGTAATAGACATAATTAATCATAAATTAGTTACTATCTAATTTAATATTCATATTATGTAAAGGTTGGTAGCTACCAAAGTGGCCTAACCATAATAGTTGATAAATATTAATTTTAGTAGTAAACATAATTACAATATTTCATGAATTATGATACTTATAATTTTTTGTGATATTCATGAATATTGATTTTATTTAATTATGAGAAATAATTCCTCAAAGGGAATTGATTTTCAAGTGATTAAATAAAAATTAAAGGGTCGTATGTATTTTTTTTTTTTATTAGGTTAATATAGGATATCCAAAGGTAACTTATTTGTTTAATTAAATAATGCATCACCAATAAAGGTATACATATAAATACATGTAAGCATCATTATTAGTATTTTATAGTTACCACCCAAAGGGGTACTATAGTTATACATTGTATTTATATTTTTAAGTTATACATACATGTTGTTAACTCAAAGCATTATTGTTGTTAAGATTTTATCTTATTATATTTATTTTATTACATCCCTTAATGCGCATGCTACATCTGTTCTGATTCTCAATATGACTAACTTCTCATAATGAAATGAGTAAGTTGAGTTCAAAATTTAGATGTGTTAAATCTTAATTTAACATTTTAAATTGAGAAACTTACTGTTATACTGATAAAAACAGTGAGGAAGAAAAGATTCTCCATAAAGCTTGGGAGAGATCGAACAGATTAAGTATTATGGTTATGCGAATAATTATTTCTCATAGTGATAGTGCTAAGGAATATTTTGACTAGAAGAATGTTTTCGAATTATAAATAAATATCTAAAACGAAAATTATTAATTGATATCACTACTATGCATTTTTGTTGGTACTCTTACCGTGTATGGGTATGTTCTTAGGATGACTAATGTTGCTACCAAATTGAGAACCTTATAGATGATTGTGGATAAGAATTTTCTTATTTAATTTATCTCAATTTTTGTCTACTTGGTATGGGTCATTTCGAATTAACACTATTAAGACAAGTGGAAAGTAAAAGAATTAACCATTATGTTAATTTAGGAGGAGACAAAGCTTAAGCAGCAGGTAATCATTATGTTCATCTGATGACTCAAGAAGTTAGAAAGAAATTTGGGAATAAGTCAGAAAAACCATTAAGTGAACAACACTCAAAATTAAAAGATTTAGGTCAATCTACTAAAAGAAAGTAATGTAATAATGAAAAAGTGTCATTAATGTGTTGAACACTTTTAGAAAGATTACATGACATATAAAGAATGATTCGAAAAAGAAAAGTACGCTTTTGGCTTTTGTATATTGCGAATTACTTGTTGAAATTCTTTTTAATACATGAGAGGTTGACTAAAGTACTAATATTTATGTTTCTAATAGATGCAAAAAAAATTTATGGCCTAAACCACAAATTCAAATAAGAATTTCTTATTTATGATAATTGGGAAAAAGTTTTGTTGAAACCATTGTAACACTATGTTTAATGTTAGACAGTGGAT